CTGATCTCCTTACATTATTGGAAGTCTACGGCAAAAGCTTCAGTAAGCTTTTTCCTGCAATTTAGCTGCCACTCCGGAACAAAAATTAGAAATTAGTGCTTCTGCAATGAGTTTGGGGTTTTAGACCAGCTGATTCCAACAAGTAACTTTGCACGATTTATGAGGCAGCCTAAAAGGTATGATCGCATTTTTTACAATTTTTCAAAATGCCGTTCATATGGTATACTTGACATAACCTATTGACCAGAAATTTGACGAACTGGAATACATATATTTCGGATTTCAGGCAATTTTTCGAGCTAGTATCTGCTTTAACCACCGCAGAAGTCTTTCAGTAGGTCCTTACAGTAACCTTACAAAAATAAGAGAAGTTGGTAATCCGCTCTCTACTGTAAATCCAAGCTGAAATCAGCTCTACAATGTTACCTGAAAATCTAGAAAAACTGTAAAAAAAAGAGCGACATTAACGATGAATTTTCAAAATTTTCCCGGAACCCCTGCCTAAAAGAGTATCGATAGTTTTCTAGCAATTTTGCTTTGGAACTTATAAAATAAAAGCTGAATTTGCAGCAATGCATGGTTTTTTAGGTACCACTCATGATATGACATACCTGATTTTGTAGTGGAAGTTCTGTCCATTCCACTCTTCCCTAGGCATTGGTCGCCAATGTACAACCATGTTCTCAGGGCTGGCACCTTTGGCCCAAACTCCAGCCGGGTTCCTGTCTGGTTGTTTCGGCGGAGTAATGCAGCTGTCTTTTACTCTCGTTGGTGAACTGTCACCAACTCCATTTCGAGCCAGGACCCGGAAGACGTACTACAAGGAAAACTCTGTTTTTTACGGTATAAAGTTAACGCTGAGGATAAACTCACATGTCCAAATGGTTGCAATGCGACAGTGGCTTTTCCGCTGACCATTCGTTGATCGCCTTCGATTCGGTCATTGGGATGTGCTTGTACGGGAACTGGATGTGTTCGCCATTGGGTACCTTCAGTTTCACTGTCCATTTGGTATTGTACCCTAAAATCTCATGATCTTCATGAAATCATAACCTGTGGTTTATCTAAAGGT